AAGATCGAGATCAACTGCCAGCCAGTGAGGAGGTGGGTTGGTTGGTTTTGGTTGGTTCTGGTTGGGAAATGTGACAAATCTGTATCAGTGCTGAGTTTTCTCACGACTCTTTTCAGTTTTCTCTCACGGTCCAAAAGCCCGAGCTTAACGAGAGACTCCAGAACAGCCATAGAAATGTGACTTTGATATAAAATAACACGTCATAAACGGATAGTCTGGAAAATATTATTGTGATGATGCATGATCTAAATGTTTATTATCTAGGAAAACGATCATTTAGCTTCAACATAAAGTAAATCCCAGTTAATCTCCGTGGATGACAACAGTAAGTTCAATGTAACTGACAGAGAAACCCTTTCACTCCGTCACCCACAAAGTAGTGTATTGACAGTTGGGTGAATTCTGCTTCACTCAGCAAGAAGTTTTGCAGTCATGGATTTTTCATCTAAATGAGGAGGTTTGTTCTTTTCCTCATCCTCCTGCCAGCAGGTCCAGTTCAACACTCAGACGGACACTGGTGGGGCTGTGTGGGTCAGAGACTCACACAACACAGACTCAGAGACTTGGCCAGACACTGGTTCCCACAGAGTGAAATCCTACCACCAGTTTGCAGACATGCAAATGTTTGGACTCTGAGAAACACTTTCCTCTGGGCCTGACACTGTAAAATAGAGCCACTGTCCAGAAGAGGAGAGGAGATAAATTTTGCCGAGCTGCTGAAATCTGGCCTGAATTTAACTTCTCAGACACATTTCTGAAGATTATTTTACAAACCAGTCCAAGTGAAGTATTTAACAGCCATTGTGATGAGAGTCGCCGGCATCTAAACACAGCTTCTATCTGTCATCCTTGATAATAATTTGAAAGTCCTCCGGGCCAAGATGAAAGAAGTTATTATAACCGGGCTGCTTACACAATACAGAGGTGGTGAACTTCATCAGGCTCTCACCCCTGCAGTGTGTCATAAGACTAGCCTCTTGGTTTTTTACCCCTCTACAGATGCTCTTTCTGCCCCAGCGAACACCAAACACCAAGTATTAGCACAATTCTCCAGCCCATCATTTTCATTTCATGCAATTTAACCCAGAGAAAAAGCAGTGGCATTTGCCAGTGCAGACTTAACACCATCAAAATACATGGAGTGATTTATATTATTTACTTTTATACAGACGTCATTTATTGTCTATTGTTCCTGGCCAGAAGAGATTTCAAACCTGCAACCCTCCGACATCAAGCGTCACCTTCATACCACGAAGTCATAGGCTGCAGAGCTAACTCTGTCCAGAAAAGTTGATAAATTCCATAAATAAAAACTAGGATCTGGTGGTGAAAAGTGTTTAGAGTGTTCACTGACAGATTTATGTATTTGTTTGTTTATTAATTTCCCTCAGGAACTCTAAAATATTTCCAGACAGAAAATACATTTTACCAACATGTAAACATAAATTTCTGCAGTACTTAAGAGGGCGAAAGAAAACAAACACATTTTTTGGAAATAAAAATAACTCTAAAATTTCTAATTAGAAATGATCTTTATTAGGATTATTGGAATTATTATTCCTGCCTCTGGGATTCATTCGTCCACAGAAATGCACCCACAGCAGGCTGTAATTACTCTTATTACACACAATGTTAAACAGTCAACTTTGACCCAAACTAATAACTCTACCAGTGTTGTAATTAAACTACATGCACACGGAGCATATCCAGTGTTTTCACGGGAAATGCGGTGCAGAAAATAGTACACAAAACCGATGGGATTAATAGCCCGGCCCACTGCTCAGACAGCAATAGATCATCATGATAATTGCCGCCATAAATCAGATTAATCAGGAGTGCGTCGGCTTCATCCAGCATCATGTCCTAATGTGAACTATTACTGCTCACATGATCAAACAGGGTCAGAACGAGACCTCCCACGCAGCGACACTTCCCAGGCTAACCCATGTAGAACACACCGACATCAGCACAATACTTAACTAATCAGTGGGTATTATAAGGACTAATGGGTGAGTTACCCAGCCATGTCCAATACATTATCTAGTACAGGAAAGACAGTTTGACATGGAGGAGTAGGGCAATACAAACATGCTCCAATTACAACTCCCCACTTCACATCTACTGTACACCGTAGCGCCGTATCTGATTTTACTGACAACAAAAAAGCACAGTCTGTCCTTGTACATAACTTACAAATGAATCTGGTTAAGTTTTGACTCAGAGGATCTACAAAAAAAAAAAAACACTTTTGACAAAACTTAAGCACAGATGCAGGCAATCTGCTAGCCCTATGTGTCTGCCAGTATTACACAGCACAACATGTGGTATTATTACCAGAAATGTATTAGTGATTTATTTGGTAGAAACACTGTCATTAACAAATGCTTCCCTTGAAAAAGCACTCAAAGACGCAAGCAGAACAGAACCCATCCTTGTGTTCTTCACACATCTGACATTGTGCTATCTGACTCAGCCGCAGTCACACATAAAGACAAAGCATATGTTGCATGGCATCTGTTTTCCTGAACAATGCAGATGAAAGTGCAGGCTGTGTGTCCTTGCTCACGTTTTGTAGTTTCAGTGTGAGATGAACATTCAGCCTCTACTGTTTTTGTTTTTTTTTTTGTTTTTTTAAACCTTATTGGAACCATAACAACTTAGCTAAATGGTATAACCAAAAAAGTTTGGTCTTTCGTCAGTCTTTCTGTTTGGATTATCAACTACATAATATTATTATCATTGCAACGTTGGGGAACATACAAGCTTCTCTGAAGCTAACGTCTGTATATCATCACTTTGTACAGCTTTCACATAATACAGGACCTCATCTCATGACATTAGCATGCACGGGCCTGTTCTGTCTCAGTAGCAGTCCTGAGTAAAATAAATATTAAAATACCATAAAGCCTGGAGCACTGACAAAGATGATGGAAAAAGGTGTAGAATAAAATATTTCAGAGCCAAATGAGAAATGGATGGTAGACTCGTTTGTCAGGTTACTACAGGTTACTACAAGCAAACACAGAGTCTCAACATTTTTTAATCACATACTTTTTGACATGTTTCATAAGGGATACATCAGCTGAACTTTGTCAGGTTTTTCTAAATGATCTTCTCCAACAGTATCAGAGGGGAAAGTCAGACGTGGTAGCGGTCATGTCATGAGGGCTACAGGTGTGTTTCCATCTTGTCTGTTGCTAGCAACAACATGCACTAACAAATCTCTGTAGTCGTGTAGTTTACAATGAGAAGTAATATTTTTTGCACATGTACTGGACTCCAAACCATTCAGAGCTGCATCATTAGGAGCACAGCCACCACATGGTGGGGGTTGCCTCATGATCCTACTGTAGGCCTCATGTAGGCGGAGTCACAAAATACTGTAATTCTCTGGCTGTCTTCAAGTATCACGGTTTCCATTTAAATCAGTGGAAAACAGACGACTTCTCACTCGACATCAGTCAAAGTCTGCGGCCTCATCTACTACTACATGTGATTGTTGATTGTCAGGTCAGCCGTATAAATCACAACTGTGCTTAGAGGGACTGAGGAGCAAGCAACAAATGGTAATAAAAAAGGAAGTGGCAGGGGCAATAAAAGTTAAGACCACATGTGATTGACAGTTCAATCATCTCATAAAGAGCACAGAGTCAGTAAACAACAAAAACTCTCTTCATTTTACTTACCAAATCAATGAGGCAAATGCTTTCACCGTGGCTTATTTCTGCTATTACAGCTTGGAACAAAATTAGTCAATGGTTTCATATAGAATGTGATACGTATTTTGGTCTTCAGGGTGAGAGTGAAGCAGTGGTGGGATTCCAGCTTTCCACTCTGGTTGGTTTAGGTCAGAAAAGGCATAAAATCTGTACCAAATTAAAACGTGGACTACCACTGTGCTGATCCCAGAGGACGGGACGAGATAAGAGTAATGTAGTCCATGGTCAGGTCGGGTCGGTATACAGTAAATGAAGTCATAATACAAATGAAGAAGAGACATTTTCAGAACGGTAAGAATTCATACAGTGAGTTGATTTCTGGGTGTGTTTTCCAACATTGTTCAACAGCCAGGATTCTGCAGCACCTGCAAATATTTACATAAAATAGTTGTTTCCCTCCGAGCTGATGCATCCAAGTGTTGGGGGACGGGCTTGAAAAAGGGTTGAGACAAAAACGGAGCAGGGATGCCTATTCTTCGACAGCAGCACGGAGTTTTCGCAGAGCCCGACTGCACCTTCAATCATCAAGCTACCTGGCAACCGCCCGCAACCCTTTGCTCCTTTCCCAGCTCCCTTCAGTCTCGCTCCCTATCGGCCCCCATCAGCCTCCCCTCTGTGACGCTCAGAGGAATTTTACAGCCGCTGTCACACACAGACACTCACACAAAAAACACATGCATACATTCATGTAGGCTGCAGTAAAACCATGCACACAGACACGCACATGCATAAATCACATATGAGAGTTTGCACACAAACTCACATGTTCTTACAATGTCCAGTTGACCCGCATTTGGACCCACATTCTTTGGCCTCAGTTAGCATTACGGCCAGTAGGCTTGCAGACTTTGATGAACCTGTCTGCCAGCCTGTTTGTTTGAGCATTTTCAAATGTGAAGGTAAAAGTACACCCTGAGCTTTAGAAATCAAATAAACTTTATTTTTATCTCCGTATTCTCCACTAACTGCTATTTTTGTTGAACAGAAATGATAAAAAATACAAAAATCAGTTCAATTTCCCCACTTTGGAACTGATAAAGAACTTATTTAAAGTGAAGACATTTTGAACCCTCTCTCCCATGAGTGTTCCCATGCCCCCCACTTTGGAAACCACTGCCTTAAACCAAATCCACCCTTTAAATAGTCTATGGGTAATGTCCTCCTCTCTCTCTGTTGTCGCCATTGTACATTGTCTGTGCTTGTACTTGTTGTTGTACTTTATTTACTTGGTTTGTGAACTTTAAAGTCTCTGCTCTAAACTTCACAATAAGTGTAGGTGTCAATCATCTGTCCTTCAAACGTGGTAAGAAAATTAGTCTGCATGTGTCTGAACAGACAAAGAATGTGAAATTTTGTTAATTATGAGACAACTGTTTGTCTTTGTACATCCAAACATGATTGCTACGACAGGCGATCCGGTGGTTGGAGCTCATGTCGAGCAGTAAGACAGACAGACAGACAGACAGACAGGCAGACTGACGGCACACCGATGGAAGCTTAAAGGTTCAGAGGTCAAATCACTCAAGCTCTGTTTCACCTTTAGGAAGTTTCAAAAATGCACAATACTTTTAAAAAATGCAAGTTGATCTCCTATCTCCTACAATGAAGAATGTGTAGTATTTTTAATTGTGTTTCTGTGGGTTACTTAATAAGTTCACTGTTGTCCCAAGCCTTTAAAGTACAAGACCTTTTCATACAAAGTAAGGGAGTAACGGAGAACAGAGAAATCCTTTCTGACTTGTATCAAGATTTCTGAACCTCTGACACCCAAACATCACAGGAAGTGTCCTCACACACTCCTCTTAAATGTTAAGGTGAAAAGACAACAGTTTATTGTTCACCCTCTGCGCTAATATATTCATTAAATTATCTTCTAGCACTGAATGTTTTCCAGGATGATGGGGTTAGCTGGTGTCACTCCCAGCAGTCATTGGACAGAAAGGGTCACATTTCACACACGAAGTACATGCAAACTCCACCGTCAATCAAACAGATGAACTCCTAGCCATCAGAGGACTAACAGCTTGTTTTACTTTTTGTCCCCTCTGCAGATTTGTAAACAAAGATTTTTTTTTGAACCATTTTCCTTCTGCAGCTTTGAAGAGGTTGACCAGGCTTTAAAACTGGGAGGAACTACATGGGCCGTCATATTTACAATCATCTCTGATTCCCTCAACTCAGCTCCAGAGACTCTGACTTGGTGCCAGAAAGATCACACTGGATAAGCCGTTACACATTTATTGCTCCTGCCACACGGCAGAAAACTCATCTGGTTTTCTTTTGGGAGTATGAAATGCTGCAGAATATGAAACAAGCGCTCCCAATTCTTTGGCTCCCACACTCCAAAGCACTTCCATGAATGATTGTAGGGAGTTAAGAAAGGTTGGCAGGCTGCCTATCAGTGCAGCTGCAGAAAACGGGCGAGATGGGGGAACGACGAGTGGATTAAGGAGGGTCAGAGTTTAAATTTTAGACTGTAATCCATCACAAATTACTGATTACCTGCTGCAGGGTGTTATCTGTGGATCAGCCTTGGACCACAGAATCCGACTACTGGATTGTAACAGTTGCATTCCTGTGTTAGCAGTGGTGTGGACCTAAACCAGTAGTCGCTGCGGTCTTTAAACAATGCACTGTTCTGGCTCCATTTCAATCTATTCCTTCCTCCTCCTTCCTTGTTGTTGACCAACGCCCTCCAATGTCCTCTCTTCCTGGACACAAAGAGCTTTTCTATAATCCTTAAAGATTATATATTGTCAATTTGACTAGTTTGTTTGTGGTTATAAATAGTTTGAGAAAGAACTGTGATATTATAAGGTGCATAGGAAATTAGGACTAATACCTTCACTAACCTTTTCAAGACTATTAGACACTTAACCCACCTTGGGAGACTCGGAACAATTCTGAATCCATGTGTGTCACATAAAGGCTTTAATATCAGCATTAATAGTTTTGTTATTAGCAGAAGTTCAGATCAGATTTGATCTCAGCACCAAGAAAACAGTTTATTTAGGAAAGCTCGCTATTAAACATGTACTTTAACTTTGATTAATTCAACCAATTATATTGACTTAATTAAAATTTCTAATTTTATTTTTTGTACCACCTAAATAATATAGTTTGTGATTTAACTCGGCCAATCTGCCTCGATGAGATAATTTGACACATTTGACCGATAACTTGAACGTAAACAATGTGCATACGTCATGTGCCTGCGTTCTACGCCATGCTCCACCACGTGTGACGTCGCGCGTTGATTAGCTACGGAAGGTACGAGAGACTGCGCGTAGAAACAAATGCAGTAAGAACAGTGTCTGTAGCTTCTTGTGATAATTAATTAACTTAGCCGTTTGGTTAAGGGGGTAAATTAGAAACGTGTATATATGCGTTACCTCCTTGGAACCTGCGCTTGGAAACAAACCTGCCAGTCAGCACAGATCCTCGACCTGATTGGCTACTGGATTTTGAGGAAGAAAGGGAGAGAGAGAGGAGGAGGAGGAGAGAGAGAGAGAGAGAGAGACGCCAGGCTTGTGTTCAGACTCCTAGGGGGCCCCTGTGCAGCTTTCTAAAAAGTCTGCTCTTGCCAAGCAGAGAGGCAGCCTATTTAAGACAATCACATGATTTCACTGGGAGTCAAAATGGTCCGCGGGGGTCAGGATAGAGAGAGAGACTGAGCGTGTGTGCAGAGGGAGGGAGAGAGTGAGTCGGGAAAATGACTGGCCGAGAGACGAGACTTGACTTCATGTGATTTTTCTGCCCAAATCAATTGCACTTAGACATGTATGCAGACTTGTATGGAACAACCCAGGGGTATTTGTATGTACAATCCGTTGATGCTTCATTCATTACAAGTCCTGCTCTACTGCTGCTGCTGCTGCTGCTGCTGCTGCCGTGATCTCTTACCGTTGGACTGCTTTAATTGAGCGCTTTTGGATTATTGCAAAGTGGCTGCGTAATACTGGACTGCGCGTCTGTGCGTAAAGGTGATCCACAGACATGACTCTCCACCGGATTGGTGCAGTTGACAGGAGAATTTGGATTTCGCTCTTCTTCCATCTCTTTTGTTTCACCACAGCGGGCACAGTAAGTCTGTTGTATATATGTGTGTCAGCTGCGCCTGCGAGCTCATGCATGCAGAGCTCATAAACTTGTCAACACTCGGTGTGACAAAGAGCCGACTTATGGATTCATTTTTTCAGTGATTATTCCTCCAGTACTCTTTACCTTTTGTTTCTTTCTTGCAGAGTTTGTCTTGGAGTAATACTGCTGTCAGCGCAGAGTCTCTCCAGGAAGCCTCGGCTTTACTCCAAATTCTCAACTTACCTCAACACACAGGTATGCCGCGTGTCAACTGTTGGACAGTGTCTTTGTGAAATTTGTGACATTTGTCACTTTGTCCGAGGTTTTTAACGGAGTTCGTGGTTACTGAGTTGTACAAATTGTGAAATAATAAAAAAAAGTCGACAAAAAGCTCCTCATCCATTCACAATATCAAAAAGCGCTCACCTGCGCTGCGCACTTCTTGTATTCACCGCTGGGGGGCGGCCTGCGCCCTGACACAGGGGCATCACTACCTGCCGCAGCCGTGGAGTTTCATAATCAGTCAGACATTACATTAAAATAACGGAAAATTAGTCAAACGTCTAACGATTTTTTTTCTTTCCTGGATTTACTTGTAGAATAATCCAAACAAACACCAACTGTACTGCTGCAAAACAATGATAATGAATCCATTGTATTTGCTGTAAGGCAGTGGAAAGTCAGCCTGAAGGATGATGCATGGGAGCCCTGCTGGAGCTGCCTCGTCTGTTCAGTAATTAGTGCAAGCAGGAAGCGATACTTTCATCTGTTGTTTGTTTAGCAGATCTAACCCCATGTGGTGTGCTGAGTCAGCGTGTGTTTCTGGCTGTGCATTAGTGTCCCAAAGAGGTTTGGGTTTTGTTGTTTGTTTTGTTTGGTTTTTATTTTTCCTTTTTCTTTTTTGGTTACCATGAAAAAGGCCCGGCGTAAATAAATAAATATCAGACGACTTTCTCGCTGGGAAACATGTGGAGATGATCTAAAACAGAAGTGAGAGGAAGCCCTCGTTTCTGTTTCAAATCTTCTCACAGTCATCATGGGCTTTTACAACCGCTGCTCATTGTCAGTATGTTTTAACATTCGTGCAACTGGCGCAGAGACGGCGTTCCCATGTTCAGACCTTTGTTACATCTAAGCAAAGGTGCCTAATGGTTGGAGCCCCTGTCAGTACTAATCGCACTCAGGAGCTACTAAACCAACATCCAAGCCATTTCAGAAGGTTGTCTCCGTCCACCAGACAACTTTGTCTGTGTGTGTGCATGCATGCGTGCATGTGTGCCCACATGCGCTCACTCTGTTCCTGCAAACTCTTTGTTTGTATACTGTCAGACATGGGTCACTGCAGATGGTTTTGGAGTTAGGGCGGTACGAACACACACAGAGTAGGTGCAAACGTGTTTGAGGGTGTGTTTGTGTTGGGGGAGGTTGACAAGGTTACACAGATAGGAAAGACCATTTTGGGTTTTATAGGTTAAAGCTCTAAGTGTTTGCTCTCCGTGGTCAGATAGTAGCTAGGGTTCAGGGTCAAATGTTAATTAAATATTGTTCAAGTTGACCTTGGAAATGTCCATGACAGTACCATGGATTGTCCTTGGAAAACTATAGAAAAACTGGTGTTGTTTTAGATAGATAGACAATAAAAAGTACAGAGGTGAGAGACCTGATCTGTGGCAACAAATTAAGCTAAAGATTAGCCAACATTTAGCAAAAACCATGCTTAGTGTTCTATACCAGTGCTTCCCAAAGTTTTTTCTGGGGACCCATATTTTAAAAATCACAAACCTTCGTAACCCAAGTCAATAGACATTATTCGTAAACTCCTGGGAAACATGTTGCAAGATTACCTAAAAAAAAATCTCTTGCGACCCACCTGAGGGTCATGACCCAGTCATAGGGAAACAATATTAAAGTAAGAAGATATCAACAAATACCTTATTATACAACACAAAGTAAGAAGATATCAACAAATACCTTAAAGATGAAAATGTGTTTCTTTGTTTTATTAATACACTTTAGGATAAAGCAATTACAAGAGATATTTTTGTTTTAAGACTTACCATATACGAAAAAATACAGTCCGAAAATCCACAACCTTTAAATAAATCATCCTCTAATAAGGACGTGTCCTATTGTGTGATCAGACTTTATGTCACCTAACCCAAACTGCACTGTACAGTCATGTTTGAACCAGTGGTGTCACACTGACGCTGATGACACACCGTCTATCCCCCTGCATGTTTACTGCCATCGACTGCAAAAACTTGTCTGTCTATGTGCTATATTTACCACTTATTCAGACTCACTGTGTACAGTGCAAGTGCCTCTGCCTCTTGCCAGCTGTTAGTTCAAGGCTGCTGTTATTTATGTGCACTTTGAGCTGACTGAGCACACTGGCCAAAAAACACTTACAAAATCAACAATGACACAGTTTCTGATGCTAACATGTTGGTTACTCATTGCCTTTAGAGCGGTGTTTCTCAAATAATAGGTCATGAACCCAAAGTGGGTCACTGGGCCAAATGTGGTGGGGCCCTCAGAATGGATACATACCACTTGTACCAATTTTGTTCTACAGTTCAGCAGCAAAAATAACCCTTCGCTGACACTGGTTTATCATTGTAATGAGCCACCTTTGGTAAAGTTCTGTACTACCTCACTCCTGCCGATGCTGAGTACTGGTATGTAAACGTCATAACTGGACTCGGTATCACTGAGTACTCTATAAAATTGAGGTCATGACTGAAAGACTAAGGTAATACTTTGATTCCAGATGGATTAGGGCATACACATGTATACTATCTTTAAGGCGTACAACGGCTTAAAGCTGTGTGTGCTCTGTATGACACACTTCAATGTCACTAACAAAGCAAATGCACAAATATGTGTTCTATTGTACTCAGTTATCCTTAGTGTGAAGAGGTTTTATCTCCAAACTCCTGCAGTATTTTCCCAACCAAAACAAACACATACCTCTTTCTAGTCATACACAGTAGGCCACTGTCCCATGGTACAGGACTTTGGCGTACTCAGAGGATGCACAAATGCTACTGTGATGACTTCCACTGGCGTGTCTTTGTGGCCACTGTGTGCTTTTAAACATTTCAGGTATTGAAGGCCTGGTCTGTTACCTGCCACCAGGCCTCTTTATCACCTGCAGTTATACAGCCTGTGGGCTAGTAAAGCCTACAGTAAAACCCAAAGTCAAACATGATTCACTCTCTGCTGAAAGATCAATGTTGGAATTGTCTTGTTCCTTTTCCTGTAACATTTTACAAAGGTATATGAGGCAGGCCAAAGAGAAATTAAGGAAGTGGCAAAAACAATCACATAAAAAATAATGGCATTTACTGCACAACCATCACGTAGTCACTACTGTATGTTGTTTTTTGTATCAATATCTGCCTCCTCTTTCCTCAGAGTATGAGATTGTGTCTCCATATGAGGTGGACCACCAAGGCCAGTACATCTCACATGAAGTTGCCCACCATCAGAGGAGGAGACGGCGCAGATCCCTGAACCCAGATGAAGCCTCATCAAGCACTAATAGTGACAGTGAAACGGTCCACTTCCGTCTGAGTGGCTTGGGGCAGGACTTCCACATGGAGCTGAGCACGTCGTCAGAAACCCTGATTGCACCTGGTTTCACCGTCCAGATCCTGGGAAAGAACGGCACCAAGAGCCTCAGGGCCTACCACCAGGACGACCTCTGCTTTTACCAGGGTTCACTTAGGTCGAGGGTCAACTCCTCAGTGGCACTGTCCACATGCATGGGGATGGTGAGTCTGAGTTTGAGCAGCCTCAGGTTGCAGGAGAGTTTGTATGTGTGGTTATCTCCTAATCAGTGAGCATCAGTGTCATTAAGGTTTTATTAGTTGACATAAGGCGGTGATTAGAACCATCTGTGGGAGTGATTGTTTTTGCACTAAGTAACAGGGACAGTGTTGACTCCAGCCTCATTCAAGGTCTAAGAGGAAACAAAACATGTTATTTTAAACAAGTATTTAAAGAGTAATGTCATAAACCTTAATATAATAATGAAATGGACATATTTAGAAGTAACTGTTAATTATAAAGTCAAAGCATATCAATAAAAAAGTCAATGTAAAAATAAGACATAGTTCATAAGGTAATATAATTACATCCGCAAACATGTTTTTGTTTGTTCGCTCCAGCAGAACGCGATGTCAACCTTTCGTTTTTACCTTCTTGTTTAAAAAAGAACCTGAAGCAAATCATTACCTGAATCGATGTCAACCTTTCGTATTTACCTTGTTTAAAGAAGAACCTGAAGCAAATCATTACCTGAAAGGACACGTGTGTGAAACCGTATGTGAATTTCTTAACTCTCTATAGGGAGCTGTGTGAGAGCGGCGTCACCATGTCAGTAATACACAGTGTTAACTAGTGTTCACCATCACCAGTCATGGTTTATTGTCTATTTTCCTCTTAGTAGGTTAGTTATGTACACACTTGAAATGGTGTTTTATTGCCGTTGACCTAAGGCATGCCATTGTGACCACAAGTGGTTCAGGAAGTTATTTATTGATGGTATAATGATGTGAGAATGACCCTCTTTTATCTTGTAGGGAAGTTACTATTTTCTGTTAATTGTGTTAATTATGACTGTGGAATAGTGGGTTTTTTGTCAGTTTCAGTTTGTGTGACTCAGCAACAGTGAGGATACACCGTGCATTTGTTAGTGTTATACTGGCCCTCTTGTATTCTGGAACAGAGAACAAAGGAACCCTAGTTATTCCACAAAACAAATCTATAATCCTCTTAGTCTTAGCTCAACTGATATTATGTTAAAACTTAAATGCCCCTGCTTCAAAGGCAGGCACCGAGGGGGGGCAAAGAGACGAATGAGTGAAAATATGCCCAATAGTGTATCTGCTGAAGGTATTCCTGACATTTACTGAACAAATCAAAAACACAATTCTGTAAATGCTTTTAATTTTTAAACATGAGAACGTGAAAATGTTGCTGCATTTTATGAGCACATCCAAGTGTCACACTGATGTTACACTGTGAAGCCGGGGAATGACACGTCTCAGGGGATGTTTCTGCCTCTCTGTGTCTGTGTCTGTGTGCGTGTGCGTGTAAGACCAGAGCCCAAAAAAAGATTTGGCCCAAATGTTCAGGGTTGTAGACCGTAAATGTGGTTCTCACAAATGAGGCCAGTAAAATGCAGAGGGTCAGTAAATCAATGGGAATGTGACATTTTCCAATGTGAATTTGAGGTTTGCAAAATTCTACCAGCAGACTGATGTTTTTCTAGTTATGGGAATAGCTCAAGATAGTTACTATTTTGAGGAAATGTGTCTTTACAGGGTCCAATATCAATACCCATACGGAGTCAGAATAATGATTCATGTAAGGTAAGAAGAATAATTTATAGGTCTCCAAACTTTTATCAGGAAAGATTAATAAATGAAAATAAAAGAAACTAATAATAATATATAATAAAAAAGAGAAGTGTTATAAGTTACAGCTCCAGAGGTGCTGCTATAACATGTTTAAAGGAATGGACATGGAATTACACCGAAGACCTTGGTTTTGTCTTAAATTTTGAACTCTCCAAGCTAAGATCGTTGGAGCCCCAATCTATAGGGAATCAGTTCTGTCTCCGACCTTAGGAATTTTTACTACAAAGCATCTTTAAAACCTGCTTTTGTAAGAGTGGTTTTGACTTATCCCTGGAGACTTGGCTCATACGTTTGTGCTTTGGTTTTGGAAAAAAACTGATGATGCTGAGGACTCATGTACAACAGTAAGACAGGTCGTACTGATACTTCTGTCATAACCAACACTGGGATAATCCCTAAAGTCACTTGTTAAAGAGGGAGTACAACTGGACAGTTTGCCAGTCTATCGCAGAGTCACATACAGAGACAGACACTCTCCCTCACACTCACACCATAGGTATGAATGTGAGGGAGGGTCTGAATGTTTTTGGACAATGGGAGAAAATCAGTGAACTAGGGAGAATATACAAATACATCAATGTTGAATCAGCAAACAGGTCTTGGAAACATGTATTATTGGTCTCCTACCAGATAAATGTGTCTCAGTGCTATTGTAAATCCAAAATTAATCCAGTTAAATGGAGCAGTGATTCTCAAAGTAGGGGGCAGGCCCTTCCTAACGGGTGTGGAGCTTTAGCAGAGGGGCCCAGCAAACCAAATACATTTTTGTATCCATATTTTCTTAACTATATTCTACAGTAGAAAAAAAGACAGTTCTAGTGGTACACCAGGTCCACTGGCATTCTAGGCTCGTGTTTTTAAATGGCCACTTAACACTATCGTCCTTTCAAGATTGTGCAGCAAACCATGTGGAAGTTTAAGTGAATCCACTGGGAGTACAATGGTAAGAATGCTACATTCTTCCAGGGCAAAGACATACTGTATGTCAACCTCTCACCATGATTCTCAAGGCACCCCTCATGAAGTTGTTTGTCATATAGAAAGGTTATAGAAAACTCCAGGCAACCCTGGTGAGTCCCATTCCAAAACACTTAACATTATCTGGAGTCAATATAAAAAAAAAAGTATGGCTGAATATGGTTCAGTGGTTTAAGAGCTGAACCGACTGCGCCTTCAAACAGATCTTTCTTTACCATCTTGTGCGGGTGTGTTTAACAGCGTGGTATGCACTAACAGTATACAGTACATACGCTTTCTGGGCTCCAGATGTTACATGTCGTTGACCAGTCAAATCCCAGGAACAAAGTACACTGGGCATCTTCAAAGCTCATATGACTTTGCACATTTTGCACATGTTTCATTTTGGCAGAGCACAGATAAATATTGACCAAAAGAATCAATCAGAGCAACATCAGCATGACATAAACTAAATTATTTACACTCCCATTGTTTAGGGATCGGTACTTGATGTGGAGGATTCAACATTAACATTCACGTCACATTCGACATTCAGCAACAGTCAGCAGAACCGAGTGACAGGCACAGAGGCGCAGCGATAAAAGCATCAGAGGTCATTAGAGGTCATGGAATCCTGAAGTGCTGAAACTCTCTCTGTGAGGAGTGTTATGTTGTAAAGTCTGTGAATAAGATGCCTTTCAAACTCCCCGTTTCTGGCAGACCATATAGTGGTTTGCTCTGCTTTGATGACAGTAGGGAGTTCCGTCGTAAAAAAAAATAAAAAAAAACTGTATCTCTACGATACAAGAAGAGAATTGGTCCCAGCCCAGTCCCACTCATTGCACTATTCACCTGCCAAATGTTCTGGAGTGTGCAGAGTGAGCAGCCCACATGTGGAGGAGGTGAACATAAAACAGGTCCTCCTCTGTGTTGATTTCATGCTGCAGCATTGAGCGCATTATTAAGAATGAGCGAGTTGAACAGCGTAAGGTCAATACGACTACATAATGGTTTAACTATGCTGGATATCAGGTGGGATTTTTAGTGTTTGTGGCGACTTGGCGCTGTAGAAAATGGACCAGACCTGGCATATGTCGATTCAAATTGTAAAACACTTTTACGGGCAAGGTAATTAAATTAGTATTTATAATTTGGCGATGCATTTGAAACTTCATATATCAAAAAATGCATGTGTTTTCTTAATCAATTCCTTCAATTCACCCTAAAATCATTGGCTCAGTCACAGAGTGGTTTATTGTTCAGTAACAAAGAACTTTTTCTCTTTGACTTTGGTGAAAGAAAAGTTCTGGCTCTTTCAAAGACAAGTTCTTGTCTTTGGGGGACAGTTCTGGGATTGATCACTGCTACGTTAGATTTAAAATGGTTTTAATGCATTCCTGTAGCACAACTACTTAATACAGTTGTTATCTTTTTGAACCTATCATTAGTAACAGTCTTCACGGTGACTGTTGGTTTATTGTTGGGTAGAATGTAGGAGTGCATTATAAACAGTTTCTGCACTGTTCTTCTAATGTGAATGACACAATTACGTCACTTAGAGCATTTCACTGTGTGATATGACAATTATTTTTGCAAAGCATTCCAATAATTTAGATTGTTCCTTATCATGTGAGTTGTCTTATTTGAGTGCGTTGCTGGCACGCGTTTCTGAAGTTGTTAATGTTTGACAAATTTAATCAGATTTGGCAGTGGGAGAACTGTCTTGTTGTTTCCTTTCTCTGCCAAACAGAATGAAATGGGTTTCATCACACTTTAAATATAAAGTGTAACAATTTCTCTGAAAAATCAGCTCTGTTGTTTTGTTTGATTTAGTCCAAACCTGGTTTTGTTTTTAGCGTTCCTTTTTCTATTGTAACACACCAAATGGACCCGTTCCTAACATGGGATACTTCCTTGGGGGTCATTGTTATCATTGATCTCGTCTCCACGACGAAGTTTGTATTCATTGTAACACGGTTGTGTTGAGTGCTTAGTGTCGATGATGACATCCTCCCATGCAGTTCCAAATGGATGCCTGGTCCATATCTAGGTCTTGTGATTCTTTGTGTTGCCTAATTGATGGTCTTGTTTGTCATGGCCAGTGTGAGTCTCTCTGTAAAACAGTAATCATCCATCTGTGATCTTTCTAGCGTCAACATCTAGAACATCACCGTCCTTGGTTTTCACATTCATCCCATTCATCAGTTTGTCTTATTCAGCTTCAGCCAGACGTTAATGCACACCTTCCTTTTGTACTAAAGGGAAATGTCCTCCCACTACAAATCACCGCGAGGTCATGTGTTTTCCTCTTGTAAAAAGCACGGGTGTGTTTCTGGGCCCTGGGGCCCGGCGTAGTAGTCGTCATAATGATAGAAGACTGCAGACTCGTCCCA